TATCAGATGACCTAGTTGATTTGAAATCTTTTAACTCAGTATAAAGCAGATGGGAATTATTATTGAAAAGGAAAATATTTCAATGAATGTTATGAATGTAATAGATATATGTATATGTAAGTACTACCTATAGTTTCTTTTTTTTTTTATAAGTACATGGTCACTTTCATATTATACTCAAAGAAAATTGTTATACATATAAAAAGCTAATAAGTATTTTTTTGTTTATCTGAGATTTTTAACTCAAGAATGTTATAATAAATTATATTTGATGCAATTCTGATTCTTCATATAAGATTTTTATATTAAAGTAACCTTTATAGAATATTATAGAAAATGAGAGTAGCCTTGTAAATCCATAAAAATGTTTAAGTAATATTTTGTATTTATTTTAAAATTTTTATGTATAGCTTTGTAGAATTGTGCATTAATTTTTCCACTAAACATGTTCGTAGGTATAAGTAAAATTAAATTATATTTTTTTATCCAAGGATATTATACATATGTATGTAATGTTGTATATATGTATGAATTATTGAAAATTCTATTCTTGGTAAATTCAAGGAAAAATAATTCAAAAGATCTATACGATTTTTAAATTTTAATCAAATTAAAAATTTTTTTTGCATTTTGTTTTTTTTTTTTTACATTATTTTAAAATTGCATTTACCTTTGTCGCTACTGAGGTTTTTCAATTAAGCAATTACAATAATTGAATTAAAATTAAATAAATAATTTAAATTAAATTTAATTTATTAGATAATTATATTGAAACAGGGATAAATAATAGAGAAATTTCTTTCTTTTCAAGAAATAAGTGAAGCCCAATTTTGATTCTACAATCAAACCTAAATTTCTGAAGTTAATGGTGATATTTTAATTCACAAATTCAAAGAGTAATTAAGTTGTCTATATAGAATTTTATTTCTGTTAAATTGGTTCTTGAATTAAAACGAAGTTAAAGTTCTTAAGAGATCTTTACTTGGTATAATGCTATCGTACTTATTATTGCTATTATTGGTTTACTAATTGAACCTGAGTTTTACTGTGAGAAGCTATTCTTTTTTGTGTTTGAAAAATGCAACTGGTAGGAGTGATAGGTGTTAAATTTTCTCTACTTCACTATGTCAGCACTGTTGGTAATAAAATACTTTGTTTATTATTAAAAAAAGACATGCTAATAAAAATTCTTTTTATAAATGGAGTTTAATACGACTTTTTGTTTTATATTCATTGCGTGAAATTTATAAATAGAATAACATATTATTATAGTATATTTGAGCACCTATGGTGTCTTTAAATAAATATTTTGTATAGAAATTTCAAAGGTAAATCAAAAATATTGCGTGCTTCCAACATTTTATGTACATATACAGTAGTTGACCTCTTAATATGACTTATTTATGTATTATTATGGCAGCCTTGACAATGTTAATGAAATATTTTTGTACTGTCATAATAAATTTTTCGATTTCAAGAAAAAAATTTTGAATATATCTACAGATTTGACTGAAATTATGGAAACATTACTGAATCTCACAAAAAAATTTCTAAAAATTGAAGATTTGCAATAAAAAATTTTGTGCATTACTGATAATTGTTAAATAATTCAACAATTTTAGTTTCGATCTAATTAAAAAGAAAAAAATAGACTCTGATACTTTGTTTGCTTTAAAAGAATTTGAGTATCATAAACGAATATAGCTATTTGTCATTCTGAGCTTAAATTACACAAAATGTTCTTGCCTGAAACAATTGGCACCATATTATAATAATGAGCACTTTGTTCACAATAGTAAATATAACACAAGTACGTATAACATAATTTTCAAAATAATTTGTTCCAGGATTAAAATTTAATTATGGCTCGGTTGGTTAAATATGATTTTACTTGGATGTTGTTTTTAGTGACCACTTAGTTGGAATTTTAATTGTACATATGTGTGCACATATCTACACACAATGCGTGATTGTATTTTTCGAAAACTCCTATTTTTAGATTTTGAAGTAACCTAAACCACACATTGATAACTAAATTATCTGATTTTTGTTTTTAATCAAAAATCTATCTCGAATATTTTTTTAAAAATTAATCAGAAACAGAATAACAAAAAAATACATAATGCAACCACAGTCTATGTTTTGGGGAAACATAAAATTATGGTGATAAAATTTGATGCTATATACAGATACATATAAATATATATAGATTTTGATTTTATAAATTTCTAAATAAATCATAAAAATGAATGATTCCAATAGGCATTCGTAACACAATTTTCACGGTGCTGAGCAAAATCAAAATTTTAAATACTTTTTAATTAAGCATAAAAACAGTATAGGAATATAGATGCTATAGAATAAAATTAGAATTTTACCAAAAATTGATTTTTGTGATTTATTTATTGGGAAATAAAAATAAAATTTATTCGGAAATTAATTTTAATACTATGATTTTTTGAATTTTGAAATTTTTTATTTGAAAATATTTGTTTTGTATTATTGCAGATTGTCGCCTAGTATTATTGATATAGTTTATGAACCGTTGAATAATATTTGTGTGTGTGTATAGAAAAACGTGTTGAATTTTAAATTAACTTCTAGAACAAGATTTCCTTCAAATCTAAATCAATTGCATAACAAAATCTTAAATTTTTATTATTGATGAAGCTTACTGGGGGAGCGATAAGAATTTCATATTTTGATTTAAAAATACTTTTTGTATTATTGCAGATTGTACATGTATTTTAAAAGTAGTATTAAAAATAAGTGATAAAATTAATTTTTCTGTACTCAAAAGTTTCTCTTATTGCCATTGATATAACAAATATTGTATATCATGCCGCTGATAATGTCTCCAAAACACTATGATTAAAAGTAATATTTATCGATTTTGTAAATTTCATATCGGTAAAAATTATGCCATTACACAAATCCTAAATTCAGTTTTTTCCAAATTTTAAATTACAATCCTAACCATATGGGTACGTACAGATTTTATTTTTTTTTCAAATATTTTTATTACTCTATTTTACAATGAAAAATGATTACTTTTAAAAATATTTTATGATAAAAAAATTGTTTTCCTGAATTTTAAACATAATAAATAAATTTATTAAATTTCTATATTACAAAAATATTCAAGGACATTTTTGTACAAAAAAAAAAAATGTCACAACCATAACATCCATTGAATATGCCCATATGTTTTTTATATGAATATTCATTTTATTTCCACTTAATAAATTTGAAAAAAAAAATCATATTTCAATGAACTATTTTTTAAGTAAAAGAGGAATCCAGTCGTAAAAATCAAATAGAAAAGCTAAAATTCCAAAAAAAAACATGCTTGTATTTATATACGTTGGGTATGCATACTTTATACAAAATAATGTCTAATATCAATAAAAAAAAATGTAATGAAAATTGAATATTAGAAAACCACATATCATTTTATTTTATAAATAAATGAATGATTTATGTTTTTAGGTGAAATTTGAAACCTTTCAAAAGTATAAAAAAAAGGACCAAATTATATTTTTCAAATTTTGTGATTTTCAAAATGAAGAACGACACATTGTTAAAGATTATAATCGGGGTATTCGACTTGATTTATGCAAAGGACTTCGCAAAACAAATAAAATTAAAAATTACATAAAATTGCATAACTTTAGGGGCGAATTGAATAACTTCATTATTAATAAGATTATTTATTACTTAGTTTTGAGATATAATGTTCTACTTAGTCACCTGTTTTTCTTAATGTTTTTTATAGCCCTCAATTACTAAAAAAGGCCTTTTCAAATTATTGCTCTTTGCAAAAATCCGACAAATTTGCAAATTGTACGTAAATCTCTACTTATACACAATTAGTCATCATCTAATATTGAAGAATAAATTTAAGCAATTTGCTGCATTTAAATTTTCTATGCAAGTAAATTCTGCATACTAATATTAATTTAAAGCAATTTTACCATAACATATTAATATATATGCACATATAGCTATGTGCTGTCCCATCAGAGGTTCATAATGAAATTCAACAAAAAAAAAAAGAAAAACCATTTTATTCATAAATGCAATTTTTTGTGTTTCTAAAGTATAGAAAAAAATTTATGCAATATTTCTTAAATTACTGTTTAGTAATATGGGCTATGGTATACATAATAAAACCAATCAGGGTTGGAACGGAAGTATTTTTATTACCTTGAACGTTTTTATTATTGAGGTGGTTTGATAAAATTATGATTTGAAAGTGACATCTAGTGTATATTGCATGTTATTTGCTTTATTTGTATTTTGGTATAAAATTTACTCTCACAACTGATTTTGGGAGTCTAAAATAATATTTGACTTTTCCAAAACTACTTAATTTTAACCATAATAAGTAGTTGCAATAATATTTTTATGTTAATCAACGAAATATAATAATAAGAAAAATTAAGACCTTCAGCAAGAGATGTATCTAATTTCTAAAAGAAAGCCCCCACCTTGTTTAAAAGTTCAATGTTTCATTTATTATTCATGTTATGCTGGCAACGCTTTTCAGAATTTTTACTGCATTACCGCAAATTTATTTCTTATTTGAAAACCTTTAAATTTTTACTTGTAAATACATATACATGTATATATTTTATTTTACAAAAACACCAAATGAACAATAATCACAAAAATAAAAAAAAAAGCATTTATAAAAAAAAAATGTTTTTGGTATTCTGACCCAATTGAAGAATTTCTGCATTAAATTCCATATGTAAGTATATTTCATTATGTATAGAGGTACGAATATTATTATATAGATAGATAAGCATAACTGAGTTCATATATACGAGTATTACATATAAATGCATTTTTTTCTCTTTATTAAATATTTTACCCTTTCTCTATTTTAGCCTTATCAATTTAATATTCTATTCTAATGCACATAATATGATAACATATGTATATTTACATAAATATCAAAATGTATATATGTATATATTTTATTACAATAAATTTACCTGCAACATGAAGTTGATACGCTTGACTAATTTTTGGTTCAGTTGATACTTGACATTCATAGATACCAGAATCTCTCGGTTGAACTGAGACAATTTTTAATACCCATTCATCAGTGTCATCTAAGCGTAATGCTTGAAATCGTTGATCATTTGTATATGTCATAACGCCAATTGTTAAAATGTGCAAATCACGTTTACGTATCCAGGATACCTGTAATTTAAATATATATATATATACCGTATAATGCATTCTTTATAATATCTGTTATATATTTACATAAAATATTGTAATATCTGTGGGAATTTAACATAATATTTTTTTTTCAAATAAAAGTATAAAATAAAATTTTTAAAATTCTATTGTACTTCTTATAAATAAAGTTGGTTTTAATATAACAATATAGTTATATAGAATTTCAGTTATGTTTAATTAAATAATATATAAGTAACTGTTATACATTTTCCTTATATTTTATTTCTACAGCTTGGTTATTAAATATTTTCGAATCTCTGTCTATCTGTTTGAATGTATATATAGAAAGTCAGAAAATTTTATTACGAAAATTTATATTAAAAATTTCTAATTTAACAAGTTTTTTTTCTAGTTGAAAAATAGAAAATGTATGATTTAGGTTTGTTACGATTCCAAAGAAAAAAAAATAAAAAAACAACAAGAAAGCTAAAAGCAAAATTGTATGTGAAATAAAGAGAATATAAAATTTTTCGAATTTTGTGCAAAAGGGAAATGACATAAAGAAGGATTTTTATTTAAAAATATGGTATTAAATTAGAAACATAACCGAACTCATATACAAATAAAATAATAGAAATATAGGTAACAAAACATGGTAAGTGATTCGTTCCCTAACAAAATAAAATATGATGTAGCCTGTATTTATGCAATTTTCTATAATTGTTTAGAAATAAAAGAAAGTTAAAAATGTAATTATGGCTTTCTAAACAATTAAAATAATTGTTTAGAAAGCCATAATTACATTTCGATGCTGAGAGTAGACAGAAAATGTTGCAATTTATTTTTTAACGAAAATCGTTATTACTACTGAACAAAACTCCTGCTCGTTGCTTTGATTTTAGTACACAAAAAGTAATTTCTTTGTCGAATAATCGAAAGTTATTGCGCAAATTTGATTTTCTTGTTGTCTTATGATTTACAATAACTTAGATAACTACCAAAATTTGGTGCAAATTTAATGATATTCAAAAAATATAATATTGATTCTTAGAATCTCAATAAAACTTTGTGCAATAATTAATCTGAGTGTGATCTTTTTTCTACGGTATATAAAGCTGCTTCACAACTATAATATAATATAATATATAAAAACTTTGAGAGGAACGCTCAAACGAGAATGTTTTGCCGTACTAAAGGCAGTGTAATTATGAACAAGGGTAAGACAGAATTAAATTTGTAATGGCAACTACAGTTCCTATGTTATTTGTAATTTTGTATTTAATAAATGTACTCATATGATACTTAGTAAGAATAGATTATCTTGGATTATTTTCCAGAAAATTTTATTTTGATATATTTTATAAAATTAAAATACCAATTTTTCAACATAAAATATGAAATATAAAGAAATTAAGAGACTCAATAAAGAAACTAATAAATAAAATATAAGTTAAATATTATTAAATAAGGAATTACATGTCTGAAATATTAAAATAATTGATGCAAAATATTCCATTTCAGATTTTCAAAATTTTATCCTTAAACAAAAAACTCATTCCTTCTTGAAAATGCAAATTTCCTAACTGTTTCAATATATTAAAATTTTTTTTTTATTAATTCCACATATTTTTACCGATATGAAAAACTTACTGATTTTACTCGTATATGGAATATGTGAAGAAACAAACTACAAGAACGAAGAATATTAAAAATTAAACAATTTTTCGCTTTAAGGTAATTTCAATTTGAAAAGGACAATATTTTTATTAAGGGATTGAAATGGAGGATCTTGATCGAATTGAATGAAATTTCATCTCTTAACAAAACTTAAATATTGTACATTGTTCATAGGTATTTGTAATATATTATAGCTTAAATGTTTAACACACTCTTATATTGTATAAATTGTTATATTATATATTTTTGTATAACATTATAGTTTTTGTAGCAAAACATAATAATAATATTGCACACGTACATATGTCTGATATATTATAATAGAAAGAAATGCTAAAGGCATTTTTTTCTTATATATTAAAATCATAAAACATTTGTGTCGATTCATATCCTGCGGTGACATCTATCGTGTATACATTATTATTATTATTTTATAGTTTATTTACTCTTCATGACCTTGTCCTGAATTATTATTAAGTTTTTTATGAAATAATGTTATTTTTTTTCCCGTTTTTATAAGTTAAAAGAGGAAAGAAATTACTTGAGTCAGTATAAAATATTGGAGACATTCGCTCGATTAAAGCCCTTTAAGTAATTAGTAAGCTCTTTAAGTAATTTTTAATGACTGAATGATTTTTACATTAAAGCGGACATTTAAGTATTTAAAAAAGTAAAAATAAACATGCCATTTGTTCATGGCAACCAGCTGGACAACTTCCTCATTTCTTTTCAATATCTCAACTACTATGACAAGTAAAGATTTGAAATTTTCTTCGGTTCGGCAAAGAACACCATTTTGAAACCTTCAGTTCTCTATAGCTGCTATTAAATATACTAATAAAGCCTGCATTCTAACATCACTAATACAGGAATAATACAGAAAATAAAACTAAATAACATTGAGTAAACTACACTCAAATTGCAATTTCAGTGAACAACAGAAGAATGTCCGTCTTAAAGTATTTCAATTTGTTTGGAAATTGAAACACTTCGACCTAGTTTCGAAATATATTGATGAACCAACGAAATGTATTTTAATTTTTCGCACAATGAAAAGTTAGAAATGTTGGATATCAATATTCTTTTATAATGATCTCACAATTGGATTTCATTCAATCTGAATTAATCGGGAGAACTACATAGCAACGTTAATTACTATTTTTTCTAGTTTTAGAATATTAATCTTTAGTAAGTTTAAAATTAAATTTTTTTTCTATAGTTTTATTCATATAAATTCATTTTGCTGAGGGCTCAATATTATAAAAATGATATATAATGTTAGTGACTTTATTCTAAGAATGTGCCTGACAATCTCTTACTGAATTTTTATAGAATTTTATAATGTACGAGTATTATTGTTGTGGTTTCTATTTAATTTTATAATGTAACATGCTGTATATGAACCATATTTAATCAGACGTAGGAGAGTTTATTTGTTTTTAATAAAAATATGGAAACATTATGTAAATATGAAAAATATGTAAGAAAATATTTTTATAAAATAGATTGAAGTATTTTTCAAGTTGTATTTAAACAAGGACATTATTTATATAATTTGAAATTTTCAGAAATTTTCCAATAAATACGAGAAAACGCAAATATGATCAAAGTTTTTTATTTAGGTACTAAAAAATTTTTGGATGAGTAATTGGAGAAATAATTTCTGAATCAAACAAAATAATTTTAAACTAATTAAGTATGGAATTTCATTGAATTTTCACCGACCGCAAAGCTATAATGAGTTTTTATGTGATGGCACCAACTTTCATAAGTGTAATTTTAGGTAGAAATTGCGTTTCCCCATTCTAGGGAAGCGTGTCCACGCTAAGGAATAAAATATTTTCAGTGAGATATCTGTCGGTCTGTCTATCAGTCTGTCTGTGCAGATTAGTATCTCAAATTGGGCTGCAACCATTTTAGTGAAATTTAATATATGAGTTTACTATGAATTTACGGTTTAATCAGTTTTTGGGATATGTCAAATCTCGGAAACTGGACCTTTGCGCATATAAAGAGAAATAATCAACCAAATCCTTTGAAATTTAATTTTTTGAATTTGGAGCGGAACTCGGAAACTGAACTTTTACAAGAAGCGTATTTTACATTTTTTAGCATATCTACAGAGCAGATTGATGGAATTTCTTTAAATTATTATTTTGGTTTCAACGAATTCCAACGAATCGGATAGCAAAAAGCGAAACTTTACTAAGAGCCAACTTTATATTTTTCAAGGTATGTTAACTAAAAGCTTACTACTGTAATTCAAATTTGAAAGAAATGTTTGAGAGGCATTTTCATTATGTTGTGCGACATTTTTATTAAACTAGACAACACAACTTGCGCTCGGTTATGTGTTGACCACATTAAATTTTTTTTAATTATTGCTTAAAATATTATGTAAGCTTGTATTTTAAAGTAAATTTCAATTATCGGGTCGCTAAAAATTTTTCTCAAAAATCGGTGTAAGCTTCTACGATATTCAAATGCATTCCAAATTGCTACTACCATATTCAAAGGCAAATTTGAAATTAGTTTCATTGGAGCTTCTCATAATATTATTAAATTCGTGTAGTATTGGAAGTAGGTCCTTTAAAAAGTCAACTACAACTGAAAATCAATAATTCGTACCATGCAAGTAATCGTATTCATTTAAAATTTTTCAATTATATATATAAATTACAAGAATTCCATAAATATTTGATTTTAAATTCAATTTAAATTTTAAAATAGAAATAAGAAATCTAAAACTGAGAAAGGTAGGATAAATTAGTATGTAACTAAAAACTTAAAGGACAAGAATTCTTGATTAACTCGTAGTAAAATGTACTGCAATACATGATCATTTAAAAGAGAAAAGGATTCATCTTGTATTCGAACGTGTTCCAGTGAATAAAATCAAACAGAAAAAAAAAACAATTTGCAAACTGTTGTTGAACAGTCGAATTTATTGTACTAACAAAATCATTTTTTTAACCGGTTTTTATCTTTGTATAAAGAAAAACCACAATAACATTTTATTTATTTTTTGTTTTCATCTTCCTTTTTTTATAACAACAAATAGGATTAGATTTTGTCCTAGTTTTCTTAATAGAAATAAACAAGTACAGGGAAAAAGTGAAAAACTATCATGGTATGAACAAAACAAGAACAAAAAAACTATATATGCATTTTAAGAATGAAAATGATTTCACACCGTTATGTAAATTTCTATGTTATTATACCCTGTGTTTAATGTAGTTTTGTAAACGTGTTTCCAAGAGAACAATAATCAAGGACTTGTTATGATTATAAAAAACATAAAATGTTATGATAAATTTCTTCCAGGCAATGAATCAAATGAATTGAGGTAAAAATATTAAGTAAACAAGAACAGTTAACTTATGTATATAACTCTATTTTAAATCAAAACGTAGGAAAATATTATGCTTTCTTAATGTCGTTTTGTTGGAGTGAACAGCTTAATGTTCATATTTCATACAATTATAAAGAAGAGTGTTCTAACACTTCTTAAATAATATTTAATAGAGAGGGAATATTAAGTTTTGTATTGAAAGTGTTCGTATAGAAAAATTTAATTTATATTTAAGGTGGTTTTTTTAAATAAAATGCAAGTAAAATTTAGGATTATTTCAAAATATACAGAAAAGGATTTTGTTATAAAACTTTAAAGATTATCGATCTGGGAATAAAGGAAATCAATTAAAAGAAAACAGAATTTTACAAAAGTAAGTTTTAAAGATTGTTCCGCCGCCCAATAATTAGAATGCATAAAAAATTCGTTCAATAATAAATTGGCATAATTGCCGTATAGTTTACGTAGCCTAAATCTAAATTTACATTATATTTTGTAATATTAAAAATATTTATGTATAGATGTCAGTTCTTTGTTCCGTATATTTTTATATTAGCCTGTTATTAGGCTTTACGTTCAGAAAATAAAAAAATTCAAAAAAGCGCTTATTAATTTCCCTCTGTCCATCGATTAATCCGACGACGCGTTCATTTATCTGTCTTTGTGTTCGTCGAACATATTTTAAATCAAAAAATAATTTTAAATTCTGCAAAACCAAGACAGCGGCGAAATGATTCTTCTATAATAAAGTGTTTATTTCTCTTAATTTGATCATCTCACTTCAAAAAGCTCAGCCCAATTTAAAATAGAAAGCTTAAATTTTATTTACAAATCAAAATTATTATGGATAATTTTTTTTTCTAGAAGGAACCTTTTACCTAATTTTTCTCGAAATCGATCTTCCCAATTTCGTTTCGGGAATTTGGATCTTCCCAGAACACTTATATACTGTATGTATACAAGTGTTTAATATTATTTATAAGCACTTCAATATTATTTATTATGGCATTTCTATTAAATTTAAAATTAATTCGATTATTTTTGAACACCAAATAGAGATTTCTTTCAATAAAAATATTTATTACAAGATCCTGACATAAAACAAACTAGAGAACTTATAATTTCTAAATATTTGTGCATTTTATAAAATAATTTTTTTGAAATTATTTTATTTTAAATTAATACTCGTATGAAACCATTTTTCTATTTTATTTACAATTTTATTAAATAAAATAAAGAAAATCATTTAATTATATTTCTTTTTAAATAAAACTAGATTCAGGAATTTTATTTGTTGTAAAATGAGTATTGTAAATATTGTTATAAAAAAATTTTTAAATATAAAAAATAGTTATAAATTTTGTGTGAATACTTTATTTACAAAGATTGTAGAATGAAAAATGATAATTATTGCATGTTATTAATAAAACAGTGTTTCCGAACCTTTTTTTCTAAATCTTTCGAAAAATTGGAATGGATTTTGGTGCCGTATATTCATGAATGCGTTTGTAACATTGTGTTTCATTTAATTACATTTTGACATAATTACTGGTGTTGTTTGTTGTGGCGGCTGCTCTATAAATAATTTTCATTCTAAAGCAGCGGCTATATCGGTCTACTCATCCAATTAAGAACAGGAATTTTGTTAAACGGTGTATTGTATAAATATTGTGGAATATTATACGCCTTTAGTTGTGTGAAGTCAATAATTTGAACTGTTTATAGAAGAATCGGACTGTCATTGCTCCCAACTAACTGTATAGAAAATATTCTTTGTAATAATAAATCATTGCAAGAGACGGCTAGAGTCCGAAAATATACCTTGGGAGTTTAACAGTATTCACCCTCACAATTACGTATCCTAACAGAAAATTGGAAAGTGTTGCCACTGATATCGATAAGCTATCGATTTTTAAATTATATTCTAAACATATTATTTAATATAATTTGTATAAGATAAAAACAAAATCAATAAGAAAATAATAATAATAAAAAAAATATTCCTGTTTCTTGGGTATCATAAAAATATCTGAAAAAATGGTTTATAAATTTTTCTAATTTAGTTTGATTTTCTGTACATGCTATCAGATTAAAATCGACTTATATTTATAAGTATATATTTTTTGTATATATAAAAATAAATTATATATTTTTAAGAATTTTATAAGTTCACATTTGAATATTTATAAATGTACTTGTTTACGTACGTACATAATGTATTAAAAAAAAATCAAAAACAAAAAAACCCTAAATCTATAACAGAAAGAATGGGTAAGGCAAGGATAATCCTTATATTCAAGACATTGAATATATATTTACATATTAAATTTGTAATAAATTATTATTTTATTATTATAGGTTTCATCTATTTTATTTTATTTTTTGTATAAATACTTAATATCAATTATATTACATTAAATATACACGTACACATGTAGCTACATAGTGTATAATGTACGAAAAAATTTTTAAGCAAACATTTTTGTATTTGTATAGTGTTTTATGTGACGCCTTATAATGAAATTATTGATTCAAAGAAATTCTAGTTATATCGTCGCCTGAGCGCAATTTCGATTCATGCGACATATTTTTTGAATTGAGAAAATCACCTTTGAAGTTTAGCAAAATTTTGTTTCAAAACTGTCCGATAGGATGTGTCAAGTTTTTGTTGATTTGTCAGTAGTTTTAATATAGTTTTAAGATTTTGAGTACAAAGTTTCCAATACTTCAAGAATATTTTGGATATAAATCAAAATGTTTCACAGATCGAATTAAAAACGGAAGTCGATCAAAATAACGTCCATATAAAACTTAATGAGATTGTAAAAAAGTGGATTGCATATTTTGAAAGATCAACCTCGAAAACTTGTAAATCACGAAATTGACGTATGGGTTAAAATTACACTCAGGCAAGCGAGAAATAACGGTTCTTTCCTATCTAGAAATTTAATAAATTCGGAATTTTTGTTGGAAATTTGAAAAGCTTACGAATATTGTTCGAAATTACAATAATGTGAAAAATATTAGCGAATACTAATGAAAATGACGGTTATAGTAAATTAATTTGTTAGCTGCTTGAGATAATATACTTGAAAGATTGAACCAATTGAAGTTTGCCTAATTTGTTTTTTGAAAAAATAACTTGTGACAATTCTGCCTTAGCCGAGTTTGCCAAATTATTTTTGGTTGGAATATAATTTTTCCAAAACTCTTCACAACTATGTAAATTTATGATTTGAAGAGGAGACAATGATACTTAAGTTAAATTGAAATTAATAATTTTGCTAGTCAATAGCCGTTCTTTCGAAACCAATAATAGAATTGAAAATGATTTAACAACAAATATTACTTTGTGTATCTAGTAATATAACAAGTAAAGTAAAAATTCCAATCTGATAACATTTTAAGCTCATGAAAAATAATATAATGAACCTTAAATTGAAGGTCAAATATATTTCATTTACAAAATGTTCTTGACTTATTCTCAATTCATTGGAGTTTGTAACAGAATTTCATATAAAGAAAATCTAGAAATGCAGAAATAAAGTATTTTGAACTCTTTACCATTCATAATGATTCTGAGATGTGAAATTTTTTCATTAATAACCTTTGAGAGAAATATAAATATTATATAAATTAAAATAATTTATTGAATACTATACAGGAATTATTCTAAATAAATTTTTGAAAATTGTTTTTATTCCCAATATTCATTCACCTTCATTTATAATATGTCAAAGAATCTATCTAAACTATATGGAAATTTATTTTCAAAGGGGTACCCATGCATATTTTTCGAATAATAAATAATCTTTTATATGTACTACTAATATATTTGAATATTATATACAAAAGCAATTTATATTTTTACACAGCAAGAACCTAGAATATTCCTTCAACTATAATAAAATTACAACTTTTATACTAGTATATAATTATTAAATAATATATACTCCTTTATACTTATATTAATATTTATGTAGACTTACCGATTTATCACCAAGATTTTTAACTTTACAATGAAATTCAGCTATACGACCAACAGCTGCAACAATATCACGTTGAGTTGTATTATCAAAGAATGGTTCTTGATTAATCGAATTAAGCAGAATATCTTCAGAGTTTGTCGGTGTTATTATTGTATTTGTTTTATTTATTTTCATAATGTCTTCTGTAATGAAAATGAAAAGAGAAATAAATTGCATGAAATTAAATTAAAATAATTATAATAAAATATTATCGTAAAGGTTATTTATTAAAAATATTTTGAGAAAATTATTCACCTGTAAAAGATTAATGAAATTTTATATTCTTGATTGTACACACTTGACTATAATATTGTTATTTTGAAAGCACGTATTTTCCATATTAAGTATACCTTTTTACTAAGAAATTTGAATTCAAAGTTAAAAGTAAGTGAAAAAATTCGGGTTTGAAGGACAATAAAATTGTAACAAAAATACCTTTATTTATATTATGTATATAATATAGAGCTTGTAACAATTACAGCAATACTAGATTCAGTTCGCGACACACATATTTTATGGACTGTTATTTTACAGACTCATATTAATGTTGAAAAACTTAATATAAGTTCCGACACAATACTCAAAATTTCGAATAACGAAAGCTAAAATAAGTAGAAGTACAAAGAGCTGTTGTAACAATGAACACCGTTATACGTATAAATAATGCTGTAAAGAATAAGAACAAATTGAATCCGGTTGCTGAAAATTTAGAGGCAAAAGAGGCGGAAGGAATTAAAAACAAATAACTGAGAGAATGAATAAAACTAATTCGAAATTTCTTGACTAAATGGAATGTTACGGCTCGATCGGGATTAATAGGAAGAACAGCTCCGAATTGGACTCAATTTCCAAAAACTATTATTTCACTCCCTGACAATTATAAATTTTTGTCCCATGAGAGGCGAGTACCTTTATTTTAATTTTCTGGGATTATATTTTAATTTTTATGGGATTTTTGTTAAACAGGTTTAATATTCTGTATTACATTTAGTGTTAAGGTAACAGAGACTTAATAGATTTCTAACACAATAGGTACACAATTCATGCATAAAAATTTTCGTATAAAATTTTATAATAAAATTTTCTATTATTCTTCAGACAATTTTGTTCTTTCAAATTTAATTTAATAAAATAAATAAAATCAAAATTTTGATGAAATATAGTAAAAGAAAATACTATGAAAAATAAAAATACTAAAAAATTATCTAGCTATGAACAATATGAAAAAATTGTTTTGGAATTCTCTCAAAAAATTTTATTTACAATTTAAATTTTACACATTAAAAAACTGAAATTTCTTAAAGGTAAATCAAATAAAGGAATCTTTTATTAAAAAATAATCACACAATACACACATACATACGTATTTCTACAAATACATACATATTTTACTTTCAAATACAGTTATTTATATATGTATGTATGTATGTAAAGCAAAGTAAATACAAAATTCATAAAGTCCATATTTCATTTCCCTTGCCATTAGAAATTATTTTCGTTCTTTTCTTATTTTAGAGCCACAAGCAATGATTTTGTCTTAAAGAAGTAAAAATATTATATATATAGAGACAAACAAAATCAAATATGAAAACAAAATGAAAATTTTTAAGGATAAAGAATAAGGATATTAAATTTTTTTTTTTTTTAATAACAAGATAAGAATATTTTTAAAAACTTGTGAAACTACAACAAAACAACATTTTTTTTTTGGTAAATGATGAAAAGTATAAAAAGAAAGATGATATATTACTCACCTGAAGTATAAAGATTAAGGAAAAAAGAAATTGAATAATTGAGAGATACACAGGTATGTACATATATGTACTAATGTAATAATAAGTATATTTTGTAGTTGGAACATAAAGAGAAGCTCTAACAGGTATTATGTTAAATTTTGCTTTGATTCTAGATTCTTAATGATTTTTTAATAAAGTTTTAATAATGTCAAAAATTATTAAAAAAAGAAAACTAAAGCATTAATGCTTTCAAAGAATGTACTAGGTATTAAGGCAAATATTAATCCCTATAGGAATTTTTAATGGTTTGTCCAAGAGGTTCAAGAATTTATTAGAAAACAACTAATAAAAAAATTTTACTTATCATTCAAATTTATATACAAAATGATAAACTTGTTAAAATTAATACGTCAAAAATTTAGTCAAGTATAGGGCAAGCTATAGAGCAAGCTATGTATACATGTTATGTACCATGTATGTCTTCATCAAGTATGAAGACGAATTTTCAATTAAAATACGTAATAATTAACAAGGTGTTTTATTTAATATATAAATTGGAGTCAGCCCGTACAAAAATATATTCCATAATAATCTCCTCAAATAATATTTAGTCGATTTGAAACCAATGGGTCGATATTACCAGCATTTCCTATTGTGATATTGGAAATCAAATTTTCAAGTAACTAGTTTTTAAATTAAAATTTCAAAATTTGCAATATAATCCCGATAATTTTCAATATAAACGAAGTTTCTTTAAAGTTGGAATTCAATCCTTGTTCATTTCGAACAGTTTATCGTAGTTATTAAATTTCTATTTTATAAAAAATCTTTTTAAATAATTTTCACAAGTTTGCACTTATAACAGGATAATTCCTGTATGTAATATGTTCTAATTACTAGTTTCATGGGAAATCTTATAATAATAGGATAAGGTAAGCTTAATATTTAAAAAAAAAAGATAAAACGATGCATTTATGATAAATAATACCATAGGGAATTTGATATTATTGTTTTGTTCACATAAAACAAAAAAAAATTAAAAACATTTTAATAATTTAATTACTAAACAAATTTTAATTAAAAGTTTGATAATAAAGTAAACTATAAATTAAATTAGTGACTCAAATTACAAAATCTTCGAGGGAAATTGTAGTTTTAGAAGTATAAAGTTTTGTTTGTAAAAAGTTTCTTGTACGGAAAAGGAAAATAAAAGATGCACTTATATCATTTTGGCTATCATTTGGTTGGTGCATAAATTTTAATTATGATAGTGTTGCCAACTCTTTCTTGCTCAATTTACCGCCTCTAGTTCAAACATTCTCATTTTTTCCCTTCTAAACCCAATTTTTACCCATATAATTTCCCTTTAAAAATTTTTTAAAGAAACACAATTTTTGGCCTTTTTCCCCTCAAGACTTCCACAAAATGGAAAATTTCCCACGATTTGGTAATATTGCCTCATGATAATATAAAGGGATGTTGAAAGAAGCTAATAATTACGTTGGCATTATTACAAATTGAAGGATTCCATCTGCTATTTCCCTTCACTTTTTTTTCAGTTTTAAAGAATTATATTGTGCCTCTCATTTCGGAGTAATGGCATGAAATTTTTTTCTTATTAAACTTGCGTTTTTGTCTTAAAGTGATTAAATTTGTTTCTCATTAAAGATTATTATCATAATTGTTGTTATCATTCTGAAAAAATATAAGATTTCGAAAATAATCTGTTGTAAGCCTTAAAGACTTTTTATCTTATTTAAATAACAAAAACTTTTGAAAAATATTCCAAAATTTTGATGTTATACAAAATTATATAAGTTATTTAAATGACATAATTTTAATGTATGGATAAAGTTCTAAACAAGATTTTAGTTTAATAAATTTTAATCAATAAAATATTTAATATTTTTGTAAATAATAATATTCTATGTCAACATTATTGTATTTAAGTAGCTAAAAATGGCTTCATAATAATTGAGATAATTGGAATTTTTCCAAAAGCATTTTTCCTTTAAATGGAAGTGAAAGCCTGTAAGTAATTTTATATCTGGTTTCTAAATTTTTTTTTTGTTTCCTTTATTTTTTCTTTTCTTAAGGATATTTTATTTCGGACTTTTCCAAGGACATTCCATTACCCAATTTTATTTTTCAATATTTAAGTTATTTAGATTTTATACGCATAAATTCGAAGTTAATATGAATTGGTATGAAAGAAAAAAAAATTAAGGAACATTAATTTCATTTAACTTTTATTTTAAATTTGTTCATCATAAATATATATATTGGTATACATAGAGATGATATACTATGTACATATTTATTAGAAAGTTTGATTTTCCAAGCCTCCAAAAAGAAATTTACAAAAAAAACGAGAAAAAAATATAGTTGACCTTGTCAACTCTGTGATACCCGTACGAATTTGTTATCCTATGTGCGAATAACTAATGTGCCATAACTAACTATGGGGCAGACTATGACTTTAAGTTGCCGTATTACCATATTAATTTATGCAAAATTTCAGTACTATGTGTTATTCAAAATACTGGTTGTGCCAAACTACTATTGATGTTGTATGGCAGCTACCAGAAAGAGCCAAGAAATTTTAGCGAATTTTATCAAGCACATCGGCCCTACTAATATACTCACTTGTGTGAAATCTCAATATCACAGCTTTTATAGTTTCTGAGATATAGTCAAAAAACTTTTGAAGTTGTATGGCAGGTACCAGAAGGAGCCAAGTAATTTCCACGACTTTTATGAGACACATTGGCCCTACTAATATATTCGCTTGTGTGAAATTTCAATACCATAGCTTTAATAGTTACTGAAATATAGTCAAATAACTTTTGAAGTTGTATGGCAGGTACCAGAAGGAGCCAAGTAATTTCAACTACTTTTACCAGACACATCGGCCCTACTAATATATTCACATGTGTGAAATCTCAATATCACAGCTTTTATAGTTTCTGAGATATAGCCAAATAACTTTTGAAGTTGTATGGCAGGTACCAGAAGGAGCCAAGTAATTTCAACGACTTTTATGGGGCATATTGGCCCTACTAATATATTCGTTTGTGTGAAATTTCAATACCATAACTTTTATAGTTTCTGAGATATAGCCAAATAAATTTTGAAGTTGTATGGCAGCTACCCGAACCGGTACCCCCGATCATGTCCAATTTAAATAGGGTTCTGGCACTTACTACAATAAATCATTTGTGAAAATTTGGTGAAGTTAGCTCAATTAGTTTTTGAGTTATCGTTGGGACGGACGGACGGACGGACGGACGGACGGACGGACGGACGGACGGACGGACGGACGGACGGACGGACGGACAAAGCTAAATCAACTCAGAATTTGACGCTGATCAAAAACATACACTTGAGTCTATATCTAAGACCGTTAT